TGTGTGTGTGTGTGTGTGTGTGGTGGTGGGGGGGGGGTCTCTGACTGGCTGTACAGCAGCGGGGGGGGGGGGGGGGAACAGCTGCTTCTCGATGTGCAAATCTGGCATCGTGATTGATTTCACCTGACAGTGATTTGATGAGCCGTTTCTAAACCATATAATGAGACATTAAGACTGCAAACTCCCTCCATAAACAAAAAAAAAAAAAATCAACACAAGACGGAGACCATATTGCTCCAACGATGTAGGGAAAGAAGAGAGAGCTGAGGTGGGGGTGGAGTACGAGAGTCTGGCACTCTCATCTCTATCAACCGGTGACAGTCCCCCTTAGACCTGTGACCTCACACCCCGACCCAGGCAGTAATGAGGAACATCTATTTCCGTCACCCCCGACTCGCACATCGGCCTCCTTACAGGAGACAGCGGAGGCTCCGCCGCACCATCACATCTCCGTCGCCTTTCCGCTCCATCCTCCGCTGCTTTTGCCATCCTTCTTCTCCCCACGGGGATGCTTCAGGACAGTTTTCTTTTCCTTCTGTAATTAAATGGCATCACCCAGTGCGCAACTTTGAATAAACGCCACGGCGTGAGCTCGTAGGGCCCACGAGTGTCTGGGAGCCATAAGTAAGCTTTAAGGAGCTGTGATCCCTTCACCTAGACCTTGATTTCCAGGGAACAGGCTAATTGCCGATCCTCAGGGATTTGGGACTGAAAGGCGTATTTCCACTGCACCAGGTACCGTACTTTTGGTACTTTGAGAAAGTAAGAAAACTACGGTACTTGAAGGTGCTGGTTTTTCATCGTAAAAACCGGTACTGGCGCCGAATGACATCACAGCGGGAGGCGAGGTATTTTGTACTGAATTTGAAAAATAACGATAGTATCTTATACGGCTGGACAATGGGCAATACTAATAGCAACAGTGCATGTTATGAACATAGACCAATGCTAGTCAGATATATTAAAATAAGGTTTTTTCTTACTTTCATTTCTGTACGGACTAAAAATCTATGCTCTGTCTAAAAATCATTTTAAAGTTTACCTGTGCTGCTTCTGCATGAGCGCTGCATGTGTTCTCTGAAACAATCATAATCATTTTCATCCTTGCTGTTTAAATCACTCCTAGACGGGTTTGTGAGAAATTTATGAACTCGTGTTTTGTGTTATAAATACCCCAATATTTATCAGAACAAAATCACATCGCTATTTTTACAACAAAATCACTAGGATCCCAGTATATTAAACACATGCTATATATATATATATATATATATATATCTCGAGGCTAAAGCCCTGAGTGATCGGACCTAAAAACGCCCATGTTCAGTGTATGAAGGAGCACTAGTTCACCCTTGGAGTGACCTCGGCCTCGTCCACACCTTCCTCACCGACACCGAGAGTGAGGGCCCCAGTCACTGTTTATTCAGCACGACCTCTGAGATGAGAAGGACCCCAGGTGTGGCTCCGGAGCAGCCGAACGCACCCGACACCCGGCTGGAAGTTTCCGGGACGACCTGGAGAAGCGGCACGGTGTGCCTGCTGTCCGCACGCGTTACAGCCGCGTCGGCAGGACTGCGCCCCGCATCTTACATCTACGTTACGGCCAGAAAAACGGGGCCCATGGGCTTTCGGGCTCCGCGTTCATAAATAAAGAATGAGGCTCCATTTCAGCAGAAACTGAAAACCACCTTTAATAATGCATGAGAGTTCGCGACCACAAACCCCCGTTTTTAAGGGGGGGGGGGGCAGCAGTCCCATCTGAACCACAACAAATGAAGAGAAAGCAGCCGGGAAGGAGAGCAGGAGCCGCAGCCCAACCAGAGGGGAGCACGGCACGGAGCCATTTTTTTTTTAAATGATAATGATACATTTTGATACATGATGAATTTTCACAGTGATGGTGGCAACAAAAAGTTCTTTTTGGGGGGGTCACAAATGTGCAGCAGCTGAGTGGCACTTCAGAAGGATGACTGACAGCGATTACTAGCCATTTGCTATGGGAAGAGGGTCTGTCTTACTGGCGGGGGAGCAGAAGGGGGCGCCGTGAGGTGGCGCAGGTTAAACACAGTGTACTGGACACGTGAATGGCAGATGATGGACTCGGGCTCCAGGCTGCGGACTCGGGCTCCAGGCTCCGGACTCGCCCCCCCCCCGGACATAAGGCCTCATGTCGGGCAGCTTCTTCACTCCTCAAGTCTCCTTATCGCAGTGTTTGTTCCTGGAGCCCAGTGACATTTAATCTTGCGCCAATGCGCATTCGCTGGAGTGTTTGATCTACTCCGCTGTTCTGTTTGCACAGTGTAGTGCGTGGGCCTCACCAGCGCCACCTCTCTGAAGCTGGGGGCTCTGCGGCCCGTGTCACTTTCATTGCTGTTTACGCCTGCAGCCGAATGTGACCCCTCTGTTCTTCAGAGCGGACGGCTTTTCGGGACGTGGGCAGCACTGGCCAGCGTGGCACTGTATGTTAAACCCGTAATGACGTTCGATTTTATATATGAGAACAAAACAAAACTGGGGGGGGGGGCGGATCTCCCCCAGGAAAAGTAGTGAGCAGGAGGCATCAGTGGGACAAGCAGATGGGGGGGGAGGGGGGACGTCACAGCTGGAGTGCAGTGGCGTGGACGGAGGCGGGGCGACCGAGTGGAGAGCGGAGCTGGGCGCCACTCGCATGGTGCCACTAGGAGGCCAGAAGTGCGGCATGGAGAGCGAGGGCCGCCGGACCGTGCTCAGAAAGCACCGAACGCCCCCCAGTCCAGAGCGAGCCAGGCTTATCAGATTACTGCCACCGGAAAGCCCACTCCCCTCTCCACTTACCCCCCCCGCCACCCCTCCATATCTCCTCCAAGCTAGCTGGCAGCGGAGGAGACGTAACTGGTGCAAAATGGTTCCTCTGCACGACGCGCTGCAGTGCTGCAGATGCGTGTGTGGGGGTGGTGGGGGGGGGGCTCAGGGCCACCTGCATCTAAATGATATCCCCACCCAGATATAAACATCCCCCCTCCCCCTGAAATGCTTCAAGCCCATGTGATGGTACTGCTAGGTAGATACTCTGCCAGTCGGTGATTTACATAGTCAACCACGGTTTACTGGTTTCTGTGGCACGTATCCCCCAAAGCGATTCAGGCTAATTACCTGGCTGAAAGGTTCAACAGCACGAACCTGTGCCGCGTGTGCACCTGCAGAGCCCCCCAGTGTTAACAGCGGGCTGCCCGAGTGATGACGTTTCTTTCAGCTTGGTCGATGCTTGCTATAACATCAAAAGTATTTGCCGTAATTTGTGGTTAAGCTCAATAAATAAACGCAGGATAAGGGCTTTCAAAAGCTTAGCAAGGCTTCCTTCAGGAAGCTGTTCTTCCTAAAGGAGGAATTTCCCACAGCTTCCGTAGGGTTTCCGCCTTGGTCACATGGTAATTAGGCCAATAAGAGAACTCATCCGCGGCACATGCTGGACGATTCCTGCACACCTTCTGTTTTCCCGGACTACTTTCAGAAGGAGATCACAATTAAGGACACATTGGATCAAATGGAATGACAGTGGGTGCACTAAATGGGGGGGGGGGGGCTGTCCAAAGACACTCCAGGTCCCTCCCAGCCCCAGATGTGGAAATTGGTCCGTGACGACGCACAAACGAGCCCGAAAATGAAAACAAACGAGGAGCATATGCGGTATAAATTAAAAAGGCGTGAATTATGAGATGGCCCGTGGAGAGTGCGGCTTTTGTTCTGGGGGAGGAGGACGAGAAGGTAGAGGAGGCACGCGGAATGCCACACCTCTGACCGGATTCCCCCCCAGCGGCAAAATAACCCAGACGGAAAGCTCCGGTTACCACGGCAGCATCTCTCCCGGCCGGACGGGGAGGGGGGCGGGCGGAGAGACAAACGGCACCTCTCTGCTGCCATAGTGTGCGGATGCCCGACAATTGGATTCAAGTCTGGTTAATTAGCACGTCCCGGAAAAAGGCGTCAGAGTGCAATGGAGCCATTATGGAAGTTCAGCGGGCAGCGGGCAGAGGAGTCGGCCCGGGAGACGGAGCCGGCCATGCTCCTCGATAATAACGGCGGAGTGCTTTATCGATAGCAGCAGCCGCTTGATTAAATAATGCATTCGGCTGCAGACCCGCGCGGCCCTGACAATATGCCGCGTCGTCGGACCGGGCATCCTGTCTTCAGCTCCCTGCTCACCTCAGCTTCAACTTTTTTTTTGTAACACTACTTTCCTCTTGCAACAAAAGTACTGTTTCAGGATCAAATACATTCATTCATTCATTACATTTATCAATTAATGTTGCGGCCCTACTAAGACCCAGTAGGACAAATTGTACCTTATTTGTATGCAATTTTGCAGGTCCTGTCTGAGCCATAATAACAATAATCATTTTTGCATTTTATAAAATTTACTGTACAAGTACATTTTACATGCAGCCCCTCACATCTTCAAGGAAGCGCCATCTAGTGGTGAGGGGGTCTTAATGCTTGCCAGCGCAAATCATTTTCACTCCCCCATACAAAGAACCCATTTGTCAGGCAAATGCTTTTATCCGAATGGAGTTACACTGCTCAGTTTTACACAGATGGGTATCTTACGGAAGCTAGCCAGGCTCAAGTGTTCTGGTAGGAAGTCCAGTTCCTTAAATGTTATGCCAACGGCGGGCCCATATGCCACAGAGATGTGTGCAAACACGCTGTGATTTTTAAGGTGAGCCAAACTGGGTCTAACGGGGCTTCACCGGTTTTGCCAGAGTTACGCGCTGGATCTGTTTGGGGGAGGTCGGCCATCTCGGGTTGGGGTTAGGGTTAGGGTCTTGGTTCCTCATCTGTACGGCAAACATCCTCCCAACACTCCGGCGCCATCGTAGCAGAAGCTCTGCGGTGCCAAGGCGTCGACACCGCCCTCTGCCAAACAAAAAACACACACCTACACCGTAAAAGCCGGCGGTGCCGAGGATGATCAAAGGGACGCTCCACAGATCATTCTGGATGCAAATGCACCCGGACAGAGCCGCTTTTTGTTTTTTTTTTTTGTTTTTTTTTTGTGTGACAGTTTAAGGACTTATCGGTAAACAGAACACATAATGAGGCACTCAAGACAAGAGCGAATCCTTCAGGGTGACTTATTGCTCAGTGTGATGAAACACGGCGAAGGTAAGACTCAGAGCAGAACAAAAACGAGACTGGGGGGGGGGAATCCCAGTGAGCTTTCTCAACAAAAACAGGGCCGTTGGATATTCCCCGTTACCTTTCTTTTTCCCCCAGCAGACTGCAGACTTGCGTCCTTTGAAACCGGCCGATTCGAGAGTGAATCCTAACAAGGTGTGCTTAGTGCCGAGTGCAGAGCGTGGCTCTCACTTTTCCCAAATTCAGTAGCTAATTTTATTTAGATGTAATGACAAAAGAGGGGTCTGCTATGTAACTGGAAGCTGCTTAGCACACTGCTAGGTCTGGTAATTATGAAAAAAGAAAGTGTCCCACGGAAAGCCAGCCCCGCCCTCCGGACGATGCCTGGCGTGTCACTTTCATTATAAAACGATGCCCTATTTTGGGCCTGCTTAAAAACAATATATATCATGGAGAATAAAACGGAGCACATGACAAATGCCTTTCCCAGTATTCCCAGTGCGGGCTGCTGTGTGTTAAAGCTGAGAGCACGGACAGTTTTCCGGTTCTCGAAGCAACAGGTTGCCGTGTGGCGGGAGCGACGGGACCCTCGCCCGCGGCGCAGTTGCCCGCTAATGGCGTTGCACGCTAAAGGCGCTGCACGCTCGCTCGCACGCGCACGCACACGCCCATCCTCCGCCTGCACGCTGGCAGCGACTGCGGAAAGAAAATGTCATTTCCATAAATCGCACGTTTGTGACATTTACTGCAGCTTCACCGTGCTTCAGTGCACTTACAGCCCGTTAAGCCAGGAGGACGAAAGCGTGACAGGAAAACTTTGAAATGCATTTTAAATAAGTTTCTTTTCTTAATTTACTGCTGTACTGGATATGTCCATTCTGCAAATAACACTGGGAAATATCTACACTTATACATTTACACCAGTGTAAATATTAGCAGCTCACTTTTCAATTCCTCTATAGATAATGGCCTGGTAGTTGCTCTTCAAAGGTACTACGAGCACACGCACACGCACACACACACACACACACACGGTACCTCCTGTGTGTCCACAAAAAAAAAAACCACACAGCTGTGACCATTAAGTAAAACCTGACAGGCTTAAGCGGCTTTTTTACGGCGGCCAGTCTATAAAATAGCTGCGCACAGATGCTGACGGACAGAGAGTAGGAGAAGGAACAAGGGAAGGGACTTGGCCCAGGTGGAGATGATCTGACGTGGACAGACTGAAGGCTGACAACGCCAACTCAGCAACTCCAACCAGCAATTATGACCAGTAACACACAGACAGACAGACAGACGGAGGAGCGTCCATCCAGTGCTGGGTACCCGAGGCTCGACCCATCACTTCATCGCCTCCAGCATCATTAGGTAAATTGGCGATGTAACGGCTAGTCAGCTTCCTTGCTCAGGGACGGCGCCTCACTGGCCGCTGCAGAGATACAGACCACATCAGCGCTGGGGAGCAAGGAGCCGTTTTGGGAAGCTGTGACTAATCCATGGTCCAGACCCCGGAAAAGCCTCTCCGCTCTCTCTCTGCTCGTCTCTCAAACGGCCGACCTCGGGGGCGAGGATTCGGGGCCCGCAGGGACTTTGTCATGTGTGTCATCTTGCTGCAACTAAGGTCCACGTCCATGCAGGCCTCACAGAGTCCCATGTAAGAGTCTGCACTGAATGCTTGTGTCCATGCAGGGGATTGCTGGGTTTCGTGAGGAGAGGAACGACAACCAAAGCAGCACAGCGCATACACACACACACACACACACACACACACACACACACACACACACACACACACACACACACACACACACAGTTTATATCCCAACCCCCAAAGAACTGAACTAAAATTGATTGCGTAAAGTTTGCCCTCATGCACTCGCAAGAAATGCAGGAATGCGAGCAGGGAACCCGCCCAACCTGACAGGACCGAGCCGTCTTGAGCGGGTCCAGAGGTCCCTGCCCAGCGGGCGGCACGCGAGAGAGCCCAGCGCCAAGGAGTGGCTCGTGTCCCCACGCCAGTCCGAACCACATTAATTAGCCAAAGTGACAACACTGACAGTCCACGTTAATTAAACAGGGAAAATATGAGAGCGGGGGGGTGTGTGGGGGGGAGGCATTTCTACAGCAAACCCGGGTGCAGAAAATGACAGGTGCGGGGCAGTTATTAGAAAGGGAAAAGATAAAAAAACCTCACTGGTGCGAAGAGCAGCACCAGGAACCGTAGGATCACACGAGAAGGAGCCGCATCAGCCAGCGGCGAGGAAGAAAAGTGGGGGGAGGACAAAAAAAAACGGGAGTCCACCTCCACAGCCCCCGCGGCCCCCGTCCCACAGCCCCCGCGGCCCCCGTCCCACAGCCCCCGCAGCCAACCACGAAAAGTAAGGGATGGAGAATGGAACGGACGAGAGGGTGGAGAGAGGGAGGGAGAGAAGGAGGAGGAGGGAGAGGAGCGGCAGAGGAGGGAGAGCACGGGGAACGGTCCTACCAACGCACCCACGGGGGAACTCCGGAATGGAGGCGGACTGGGAGGTGGGGGAATGGGGAGGCAGCAGGCTTACCTCGGGAATGTAGAGAAGCGGCGGAGGCCCCTGGAGGGGGGGGAGCAGCAGAGGGCCCACATTGGCCATGGAGCACAGCATGGGGCGGCGGGATCTCCCCCGTCTCTCTCTCTCTCTCTCTTTCCTTTCTCTTTGCCCTGGTCTCCTCTCTGTCTGTGGCGGGTGGCTGCTTGTGGCTCTCGCCTCTTCGGCAGTGTTTGGGGGGGGGGGGGGGGGGGGGGGGGGGGGGGGGGGGGGGGGAGGAGGAGGAGCGGGGTGGGGGGGGGGGGGGGGGGGGGGGGGGGGGGGGGGAGGAGGAGGAGGAGGAGCAGGAGGAGGAGGAGGAACACACAGACAGACACACTGAACACGTGCGGCCGACTGCTCAGCCAGCGCTACACTGTTTACCTCCGCGCCGCGGCGAGCTGTGGAGAAGGGGAGGGCCCGAGCAGGGAGGGGGCGGAGTGCGCGGCGTGCGTGTGTGTGTGTGTGTGCGCGCGCGCGTGTGTCTGTGTGCGCCTACAGAGCCTCTCCAGTACTCACACACAAAGCAGTCAGCTGAATGAAAAGGGAGGGGTGGCACTGTGACGTTAGGGCGGCCAATCAGAGCGCGGGGCTCGGTGGGAGGGCGTGACCAGGCCCCACCCCTCCTGGTGGACACACACAAAAGTACTGTAAGCAGTCTTTCATTGTTAATTAATTTAAGCATGTAATCTCATGCTCGAACTGTATTATTTTAAGATGCTAACACATTTTTCTGCACTAAACTATGATTATGAATAGAATTCATTCTAAATATGAGTAGGAATCTCTGTTATCCAAAATAAGCCTGATAGTTTTTTTAAAATGGAAACATGGACAGACACTGAATACTGGTAATAAAAATCTATTTAATTAAACAGATTGATGGATCAAATATAGATCTATATAATTCTAAAGCAAATTGGCATTGCTGTGTGAACACTGGCAGTGAACGGCATTACAGCGCTGATCAGCAGGAGTGACTGCATCCACACCGGCCGCATCATGGGGACTGGCCTCACTCGCTTACCACATTTACCGCCATTAATATTAATTATGAGTTTAACCACCCTCGCGTCGTTAACAGACCTGAATTAATGCCTGACTATTTTCAGAGGTGGAAACAGAAGCATCTGCTGAGCATAATGAGATGACAGAGACTGCAGATGACGGGAAATGCGATGAGTAAACCCCTATCGAACAGTGACATGTCAGGACTAAACCCTCACCATACAGTGACAGAAGGCCTAAACCCTTACCGTACAGTAAAGTGAAAGGACTAAACCCTCACTGTACAGTAACATGAAAAGGGCCAAACCCTCACTGTACAGTAACATGGAAGGACTAAACCCTCACTGTACAGTAACATGGAAGGACTAA